CAATGCACCTTTTGCTTTTTGGCTACCCTCTACCCACTCCCTCTTCTTCATTCGCAACTCCTCTGTTACTCTATCTTCATATTCTAATCCAGCTTTGCTTTTAGATCTCTACATTTTTTAGCTACCTCGTGAAGAACCACTTTAATCACGCACATTCTGCTCTCTCTTCACGTTATGTTTCTTTTCTTTTCTCCCTCGCACTTAGATCCAAACCATTGCGCTTCGCGTTTAGTTTCATGCTTTAGCTCTTTAACTTGTTACTTACTTACTATTTTTGTTTTTCAGTTCGTTCACTTTCTGCAATCTTCGCGGTCGAATGGATGTGTCGTCGGAGCCTTCTGGCGAAGATGTGGCGCCGGAAAAGCCTCTGAGTTCCTCGAAGAAGAGCGTTCCAGAAGTTTCCAAGAGAGCTGCGAAAACCGCCGCAGAACCTGGTGGTGCGGCGAAAAGGAAAGTTGAACCGCGAACCGGTTCGAGTGCCGGTGCCGGCACGGTTGCGGCGAGGAGATCGGGTTTGATTGGCGGTTCCGCGAGTTCGGTTTCTGCGCTGAGACGGAACAGTACCGGAGGATTGTCTCAGAAGTCGTCGATCTCTGTTGCAGGGAGAAAAGCCAGTGCTGAGTCTGTTGGTGGAGGTAAGAGCAGCGTTTCGTCGGCGAGTGAACCTATCCGAAAGTCTCTGCCGGAGCTCCGGCGTAATTCTGTAACTTCTTCACGGGCCGGCGCTGCGGCGAATCCGGTTGCGGCCTCGCCGGTTGGCTCGGCTTCTAGGACTTCTGGTACGAGTAAAGCGGAGGTTGCGAGGAAGCCGGTCAGTAAACTGGCATTGTCGGGTTCAGGTTCGGCTTCGTCTGTTTCGAGAAGGATAAGTTCTTCGTCCGTGGATAGCACTGCCAGCAGTGGAGGTTCTGCTCGAAGGACTGTTTCCAGGGTTTCTTCGCCGACGGTTTCGAGCGGGTTGAAGGCTGGCTCTCTGTCAACATCGCAGGATAGAGCTTCTGCACTTTCTGGAAGGAGAAAGGGAGGCACTCCTGATAGCCGGGATTCGAAGTTTATCGCGCTTCCGCATGTTGAGATTAAGGCCAATGATGACTTGGTAAGTTTTGAGATCATGGCAACATTTTAAGTTTACTGTTAAGGATTTCATTGGTGAGTTGCTGTTGGCTGTCATGTGGATATGGAATTATTGGGGGAAGGAATCGGATGAAGGAATAATGTCTGCATAGGTGTGAACAGTGGAAAGGAAATAATTGCTGGAAAAGAAGGAATTATGAATACCAGTTGAATGATTTTTTGGATGAGTAGGGAACTTTGCAATTAATATATTAGCGAGCACAATCATTCTTTTTGAAATTTGTCGATCCATTTGTCTACGTTTCATTAACTTTTAGTAACTGTTGCTAGTTGGTGTTTGGTGGGCGCAGTTGCGGGTATCTCTTGTTTTTCTGAAGTTAAACTTCTTCTATTGTATATTGAGCAACTTCGATGGACTTTTCAGACCATTCATCATCTAATTCTGATTTCTAACCCATTTCGATATTATATCAGAGACTGGATCTAAGGGGACACAGAGTTCGCAGTCTCACTGCCAGTGGATTAAACTTATCCTCAAACTTAGAGGTAAATGTATCTTCTGTTTATCTCACTATGTATCTTACATAATATGTTCAATGCTTATTACAATGTTTAAAACAATTTATGCTAGGGAACAACCAAATTTTATTTACGTCTTATATAGCAATGAGCATCTTTATATAAATATATTTATGTCGACATGCTCTCTTTTAGTTGCTTTAGTTATTTTTTGTCGTTTTCCTTTTGTCTTTGTATTTTTGGAATACAACTCATTCTACTGTCTGCATTGAAAAACACAGTAAGTGCAAATTATTCACTGGCATGAAAGAATAGATTTGAGGAAAGTGCACTGCATTTTTGGTGCCCCATTATGTATTAACTATTAAGCTTAAGCACCTCATTGACACGGATAATGTAAAAATTATATGAATTTGCTCTTTGGTATATGTATATATCCAATGTTGTGTCTGCAAGGGTCATATACCACGTGAAGTTAACTGTAAGTTACATAACAAATGATCTGAAATAGTGATTAAGTTTTGTATTTCCTTGTATATTAACTTACCTTATGATTGCAAGCCTTATTGAAAAACACATTGATAGTCTTGGATTTTGGACTTAGGTTCTAAATCAATTCACAAAACCAAATTGTAAGGTGACAATAAACCTTACAAGCATTGTTTAGGTCATATATTTAGTCAATGTGGGATCCCAACCACTTAAGATTTGGTGTCTCGTACCTTTGTTGCCCTACACTGTGACACTTGACTTAGTCTTTTTGGTCAGCTCCTTTATTGGTAGTTCTTTTTGAGACATTGTGACCTAGTGGTGACCATATTTGAGTTGGCTTTCTAACAATCCCCTCATGGCTAGGGCTATGGGTCTAGAGTTTGACATTGCAAGTGGTTCAACAATAGATTTAGGATAAATTTCGATATTTTAGAAGTTTTGACTAAACCTAAATCAACTTTACAAAACTAGCCTATAAGATGAGGAATGCCCAAGCTGTGCTAGCATTACTTACGCCACATCTCTAGTTAATATGGGAACTCAACCCACTAAAATTGTAGTGAAAATAGAGTATTGCAAAAGGAAAAGCAAACTTTCTATTTTGCATAGGCTCTCCTTTCCAGGGATTTTTCTTTTCATGTGCCCATCCCCAAGCTCTTTCATTATAACAGTCCCAAAAATTAATGAAAACACAAACTAGATGGACTTCCTGAGGTGTGTATGTTTATTGTCCTTAAGGACTTATCTATGGTGTATTGTGCAAGACCTCCAAGATACAATAGGAACTTATCAAATTTTCAAGGAACCTAAAACTAGTAAGAGACTATTTAGACGTAATAACCAGGATATAAGAGAAGAATAAATGAGAAAAGATGTGAATGAAAGAAAAGATGTCTACTTTTGGAGGAGAGCGAGCAATCTATTTATAGGGAGGTATATGGGTTTAGAAACTCAAGACCCGCAACACAAAATCTGTGGAAGAAACCAAAGATGTGGAACGACCTACTACTTGCCAAGGATATATTGCAATGTTCGATTGAAACCACGTGAAGAACTGTTGCGGCAAAATTCTGTTAATAAAATCAATGACCATCTACTATTGATCATAGCACAAACGGAATAAAGTCACAGGTTATAGGGAGCCAAAAGTAAATCTCCTTTCTTTTGCAATATTTATAATCAAAGAGCTTGGAGATGGCCCCATGAGAAGAAAAATCCCTGGAAAGACGGGAGCATGCGGATCGGGAAGTTTGCTTTTCCTTTTGCAATACTCTGTTTCCACTACAATACCCCACATATTGCAAAATGTAAGAGATAAAAAGAACATAAAAAGAAAAATCCTCTGTATATCTTCTCATCTTTTCTTCTAATCTTTTCTTCTCTTATATCTTAACTTTACTCTTTAATAGTTTCTTGCTAGTTCTGAGTTGCTCAAAAAATTCGAGAAGTTCTTATTGTATCTTGATGGACTTGCTATAATACATCACGGGTGAGTCTTTAAGGATAGTGAACATGCATGCCTTAGGAAGTCCATTTAGTGTGTGTTTACTTAAGCTTTTACAACAAAAAGTTAACCTCTTTGTGTATCCACATTATGACACTTCACTTAATATTTCTAGTCAACCCCTTCACATGCAGTTTTTGCCTAGAGATTGTGACTTATGGTGATTCCAATTATTGTGACTTTCTTACATATAATGTTATTTTTTAATATATCATATTTCAGGCGTATGACTCTTTTTTTTTGAAAAATGATCGCAATGTTCATCAATATAAGGGACTTGACTCTACTGTTTGAACCAATATATGTAATTTTTAAGGTGTACACTTGATGAGGATTGTTTGATACATCTTTTATGGGTGTTAGAGAGGTATTTGAGTCAAAGATGATTTCAACACTATGACTCATTAAGCGAGAAGTGTCTGTGCATCAAAGTGCACTGCTTGAATTTTACTCATAGTAGTCATTAACTCATTATAACTACCATTTATGTTCTTTTTAGTCCTTGATTGATGGTGGTTATGTAAATAAAACTGTGTTGTTTTATTATGAATTTTTGTAATCTTGTTTTGTTTCGAGTATTTATGTGTAGCATAAATTATTTAGTTGTATTTATAATATCTAAACAGCATCCGTTCTTCTTCCTGCTATAGTGTTTTCAGAGCAACTGTTATGCACTACGATCTAAGGTTGATAACTTTATTCTATGGTTATATTGGCCTAGGCATACCACTTCTCTAAATGTTTTCCGTCCTTGAAATACTAGGAGGATTGAGTTGATGTTGGTTCAGCTGCAACTATTCCTTTCTACGGCTTTAGGTTTTGTTCTTCAATTTGCCATAACTTGTTCCAAGTACTCCATAGTGCAAATGTGAGTGTATAACTCCTTTGTGTTTGTGTTGGAGGTATCATCATACAAATTGATTTTGTAGGGTTGAATTAGATTTAAAGTCCATTTCTTCACATCGTATTGGAGCCATGTTAGAGCCTGTCTTAACGAAATTTTTTGGGTCTATTGTTCCACCCACTATTGGGCTGCTACTAGATCACCTATAAATTTCTAGTCTAATTCTTGAGATATACATGTTTTGTTGTGAAGGGGTGGGTTTGAGATTCCGTTTTGACTAGAGATAAGATTAAATTATAGTATATAAGTAGTTGATGCAAAACTTATTTTACAAGACAGTTTGTAGGGTTGAGTTAGGTTCAAAATCCACCTCATATCAAATAAAACTCATGTAGGGGTGCTTGCTGTAACTGACTTGGTTAGTCAGTTACAGTGGTTAATTTGAGATGATTAATGGTTAGTCTGTTGCAGCTGATTCCTTATGAGTCTCTGTGGTATATATAGCTGTGTAAATAGATATTATACATTTTCTCTATAACAGTAAAGGAGAGTGTTTCAAGTTGTATTTTTTTGTACCCTGATTTCTTTCTGTTTTGAGGATTTTAATAAATAATATCATTAAACTTATGATTCTTGTTGGCAGTTTGTTTATCTCCGAGACAATCTCTTGTCTACACTGGAAGGAGTAGAAATATTGACCAGAGTGAAGGTTTTATATAATGATTATTTTCATTCAGGATGTTATGTCTGAACAATATCATAAATGATTTCTATACACTGATTGAAGGAAACTATTTACTTTATCAGGTTCTTGATTTAAGTTTTAATGATTTTAAGGGGCCTGGATTTGAGCCTCTTGAGAATTGCAGAGTACTGCAGGTATGTTGCCTTCAGTTGAATTTAGTTTTTTAATGCGTGGATGATATTGTCTCGTGACTGAGATACGAAAGTTAAAAGATGTGAATACTTGTTTAATAACATCAGTTTGAAATCTTTAACTTATATGCAGCAACTCTATCTTGCTGGAAATCAAATTACATCATTGGCAAGTCTCCCTCAACTTCCTAATTTGGAGGCAAGTTAAAATCCCTTTCTATCATTTTGAATTTTAATTCAGATATTTTACTTCAGCGTCCATAAAAAACTTTTTGGTATCTTCCGTGCTTCATCTTTTGCAGTTCCTTTCAGTAGCTCAGAATAAGTTGAAGTCTCTTGCTATGGCTAGCCAACCTCGACTGCAGGTTGTTCAGCTTTATGAAGTATTGGATATATGTATTTTGTGTATTTTCGTGTATGCATGTGTATAACTGAATTGCTTATGAACGAAATAATTTGGTGCAGGTCTTAGCTGCCAGCAAAAACAAAATTTCTACTCTTAAGGGTTTCCCGTATTTACCTGTTCTTGAGGTTAGTAGAAAATTGTTTTCTATTTGTAAGGAATTTCATCATTGATTCCCTTTCTCTAGGAACCTAGTGTTAGGAGGAGTACTACAATGAGTGGAATGAGTTACTTGATGTGGTACTTAAACCTGGAGGCTCTCCTACCTCATGGACTAGTCTTTTGAACTGGATTCTCCTCTTGTGCTTTAGTACTAATAATTGGTGTTTTTATTGAGAGTTGGGCTATAGAGTGTTCTGCCTAATAGGCTCAATTAAGATGTTAGCCTAATTCTGATAGTTGAGTGAAGCCATTGAGGGGAAAAAAGGCTGCCATCAGTTCTCCTATCTCATGTACTAGTATTTTAGGTTGGGGTCTTCTCTTGTTCTTGAGTTCTACCAATTGTATTGCTTCTTTTTGAGAATTGGGCTATGGAAAAGCTACTTATAGGTTGGATTAAGGTGCAAACCGAATGTTTATAAATGAGTGAAACTGTCTCAAAGAGAAAAGGGTAACCATCAGATTAGTGTAGATAGAGTGAAGTCACCATGGACATTGGGTTGTGAATCTAATTGTGATACATAGTGTTATATTTGCATTTGTGGCTGCATACATAAATATAGACTGGTTGATGTTACTGTCAGTGATCTTTTCTGTACTGTAGCATTTGCGAGTGGAGGAGAATCCTATACTTAAGATGCTTCATTTGGAAGCAGCGTCAATATTACTAGTTGGACCTACATTGAAAAAGTACAATGACAGAGGTATGCATAGTGAAGTTATTCTTATTCTTAGCCTTTGGTATGTTTTTTTGTTGTTGTATTGATAGACAACCGATTCTTACTATAGGTTGAAGAGTATGTGCCGTATATGTTTTCTTCAAGTGATTTCTACTGAAATCATTGAACTCTTATATCATGTATTAAGATAATTTATTTATTGAATATGAAAAGTTTTGCAGATCTCTCTCGTGAGGAAGTGGCTCTAGCAAAGCGTTATCCTGCACATACGGCTTTATGCATTAGAGATGGTTGGGATTTCAGTCGCCCTGAGCAAGCTGCAGACTCAACTTTCCGCTTTTTAGTTGAGAAATGGAAAGACCATATTCCTCCTGGTTTTCTCCTCAAAGAAGCCTCCATAGATAAACCTGTGGAAGAAGATGTGTGTCGTTGTCACTTCGCCATTATTCCCGATGGTGCAGCTAGTACAGGCCCCCCATTAGATTTAAAATATCAATGGTTTTGTGGTGATTTATCTCTTTCAAATTTTGCCCCTATTCCGGATGCTACCAGTGAGGTAAAGAGTTGATTACATCATTATCACTGCCTTATACTTGTATATTTGTTTATCTTATTTGTGTTCATTACATTTGTATGATTTTTAGGTTTACTGGCCGAAGCATGATGACATTGGAAAAGTTCTGAAGGTGGAATGCACCCTCACTCTAGAAGAAATGACATATCCTCCTATATTTGCCATCTCACCTCGTATTTCGCGAGGTAGGCCTGTGTTCTATGGCTTTTATTGTATAATTTAGATGAACAGCTAAATTTCTAGATCCTAAGCCTGTATGAATAAAGTGACCTGTGTATTTTATTAGCATAAAGCTGTGGAAGTATGTGTGATGTTTACTGTAAATGCGTTTTTGGATTCCTTTTTTGTTTGTCTTTTTGATTTTGCTGTTTATTTTTATTTTTGTCTGAAACTAAAACATGCATATTCTATTTTGTGTTATTGTGTATACACATTTTTCCAAATATGCTTGCAAACAGATGCACTCTTAAGATTTTTCTTTTTGGAGATAAACCCAACATGCCCTTAAAAGATCATCAGTGAATGTTATGAACCATTGTGTTCCAGAAATATGATTAATCCTTGATAGGCCCCAAATATCATTGTCAATTAGTGAGGTCCAGATGATTTGTATGGTTGACTTGGGATAAATATAGTGAGTTTGTTTAGCCAAAATACAGGTTTCTCACCGAAAAGAATTTACGGCTTTATTCTTAAACAAAAAAGGGTGCATGTGTTTCAGACATGGAAAACTGAGATGACCAAGTGTATTATGTCTCAACATGATACGGAGGCAGGAAAGGATTGATGGATTAGATGTAGAGCCAAGCTCTCTCTTCTCAGGCAAGGTAATATAGGCAATCAGACATAAACCAAACTTGCCTTTGAGCTCGGTCGGGATTTTGTGATTGCATGAACCGTGATACTTCTCCATTGTATCCCTCATGCTTGTATTATGTGTGTGATATCCTAGTCAAATTCCCTATTATTAGATGTGGAGAAATTGTAAGCTATCTAATTTTTTATGCTGTACTCTTGTAATATTCAATGTTCATTGAGATATTGTTGTCTGACCTGTCTCTTACTGGCCAAAGAACAAGGAGCTGTTTGACTTTAGGGTTGGATTCCATATCAATGTTATGTTCTTTTAATAGTTCCTTAATATGTTCATTCTTCATTCATTTTGAATAATTTTACACATCTACATCCTCCAGGAAATGGAATTCCAAAGGTTGTAGATCTTGAAGTACATGGGGAACTGGTAGAAGGAAGTATCATCAGGGGTTGTGCTAAGGTTGCTTGGTGTGGTGGAACTCCAGGAAAAGGTGTTGCTAGGTAGGATGACATTTCTTGTATTTGTACACGTGTCTGTTTGTGTCATTTCTATAGCATAAGACTACCTAGATTTTTTTTAAATGGCGTGACACAGGTATCCCTTTTATTCTGTTTTGTTTTTTGCTCTAGTTGGTTACGGAGAAAGTGGAATAGCAGTCCTGTGGTTATTGTTGGGGCAGAAGAGGAAGAGTATAAGTTAACCATTGATGATGTTGATTCAAGTTTAGTTTTCATGTACACACCAGTAACAGAAGAAGGTGCAAAAGGAGAACCTCAATACAAATATACAGATTTTGTAAAAGCTGGTGAGTATTTTAAGTTTTTTCATTTTTATGTAAACATGCTTGATATCTATTTCCAAAATACTAATCTAGATTCATCAACAGGTTTAGTTCTTTGAATATATGGTCGATGGTAATTATGATTTCTTATTGTTAGTGAGTAATTTGGCTTCAAGTTTGCCATTGATGTGCTCATTTATTTGGTCATTATTACATTGGTTTATGTTAGTATATTTAGTAAGATATTCTCACCTGAGATTGCTGATTTTTTGATTGGAGTATGTAGCCCGTAAAATTTGGGTATTTTTGTACAGAACTCCTTTAACTAGTTCAGTAATTATTGTTCTGAGCACTCCTTTAATGTGCTGCATTGTGAAATCTTGTAAATTTCTCGACGAACAAGAATAGGCATATATTTGATAGATTAATAGCACATCATGAAAGAAGTGACTAAATTTGAAGATTAATTTGTCAACACAAGGTTAATATTATTGAAGAAGTGATATTGTGGGAAGTATAAAGTTGGGAACTATCCAAAATTGAAGGGAGTTCATGAAGTCACCAGTATTCTTAAACCACTCAATTCACATGCTACCAATGTTATCAAAACTGCGAGTATACTTGCCAACCTACATGGTCCTGCAAGTATGGGAGACCCAAGTGAGTGAATGTGCAAGGTGGTGAATGGAGAAGTCACCGATCATTTTGGGATCATGATTTTGCTTGTTAAATTATGGCTCGTGCATTGCATTGATCCTGAAAGTCTTTGTGCAAGCTTGGGTTTTTTTTAACCAATTTAATTACCCAAATCAGGTAGTTGGATTTCAGGTCAGGTTTATAATGATTCAATTCAAAAAACTTAAAAAAGATAACCTTTTCGCCTATGCTTCCGAATTGCAAATCAAATCAAACAACAACCTGCATGACTCTGCTTTGGTCAACTTCATTTAATGAAAAATGGTTTTAAGTTGAAATCTATCAGTTGAGTTATATTCTGACTTCTGAGCTTAGTTGCAATACGTATTGGATCTTAATATTTATGATTTGTGATGACTTATTTTTCTTGTCTATATTTTTTAATTTATGTCCATGTCTATAAGTATAGTTTTTTTCTATATGCTTAACTCTTGTTAAATTATGTTCCTTGAGTTATGGTCTTTTTATCTTCTTCCAACCCTCTTAGGATCCTCTAGTTTTATACATAGCATGCTACTGTCTAATTGTTCTCTGATCATAGTCTTATCACATGGCAGCTCCTCCTTCTGTCAGTAATGTGAAAATAGTTGGAGATGCTGTTGAGGGAAGTACCATCAAAGGAGTCGGAGATTACTTTGGTGGAAGGGAGGGTCCGAGCAAGTTTGAATGGTTGCGGGAGAGCATGGATTCTGGGTCAGTATTCTTTTCATTGCCCTTCACCTAAGGGCATGGAAGTATCAAGTTGAAAAATAAATTCTCTTATCCTAAACTTTGTGTTTTTTCTAATTAGAAAGAATAATGTTGCATTTATTACAATGCTTTGAGGGTGCTTCCTGCTTTTATTTTGTTTAAATTTTGTTTTATTTACTCCCTTAGTGCACTTTTCTGAGGTGTTTTCTCTTGTTACAATGTGGAAAATCTGTGCAGAGGCTTGTTGTTAGTGTCAGCAGGAACATCTGAGTATACCTTGACCAAAGAGGATGTTGGTAGTTGTGTGGCGTTTGTGTACATACCCATTAATTTTGAGGGTTAGTATCCATACATGATGACTATATCTTTTCCAAATACTGTAGCTGTGTTTTTGTAATATACTCATTGATATATCTTTCAGGCCAGGAAGGAAAATCTATGTCTGTAATGTCTTCTGTTGTGAAACAAGGTACCTGGATGACTATTAACAATGTCTCCTGTATTTTGGTTGTTTTCTCGGTGCTATTGTGTGATTTTTTTCTAGTAGTTAATGCTGTTTTGTTTTATACTGGCAGGTGATATTTTGTTATTATTCTAATAACTGAATGCTATTGTTTTCTTTGTCATGTACCAGTTTGTCATTCTTATAGGTATAAAGCCATTCCTAGACCTCCACATAGTAACCTAGGCTTTTAGAATAATTGGGCTTTGACATTGTATGAAAGACTCTCTTTTCAGTAGTCAGGAGGTTGGCCTTTGTTGCCTCAATCTTAAATATCAATACTCTCAAGATTAGACGAAAATAATTTCTCTCTTATTCACTTTGATTACATACATCTAATATATATAGATACATTGTCAGATAATTTAGTAAACAAGCACAACACATGCTAGGAAACACATCCCTGAGATTGCAGAATAGATACAAAAGTAAAACCAATAGGAATAAAATCTTAATCTTTCTAAAATATCTAGACAAATACAAGGTGCAAAGAGCCTCTGGATTGTCAATATATGAAGCACAAACAACTCTCACATGTGAGGGAGCGTTGGATTTATAAAACCATCCTAGTTGACACTCATTCTGACACTCCACCTAATAATTTTAAGCCATTGGGAGAGCTAATGGATACTCATCTTAATTAGTGTGTGATTGTTGTCTCTGGTAACTATAATGCTACTTTTTTGTTCTGATGGGTTTGAATTATTCACTTGCTTTGACTTAAGCATATTGATACGCTTAATCCTTTGATTATAAGGAATTTGTTAGCATTTTTCTTTTCTCAGTACACTTCCAGCTCTATATTGAATTTCCTCATTTTCATATCTCTATGAATACATTCCTTGTGCATCCTAGAAAAGAAGGTTTCCACCTTTCCTATAATGTGACACAGCTGTATTCATTCTTCTAAGAATCTAAATGTATTTTCTGGATACTCTGTTGCTTGTGTGTTAGTTCTTTTGCTTTCTTTTGATAATACAATTAGATGTTTTATGGTGATGATTTTAAAAAAATTCTAAAGCTGCTAGTTTATACCTACAGTTTGAATGAATATGATGCACTGTTTCATTTTCAGCACCTCCAAAGGTAACAAATGTCAAAATAATTGGTGAATTACGAGAGAATAGCAAGGTCACTGCAACTGGTATTGTAACGGGAGGAACGGAAGGATCTAGCAGAGTTCAGTGGTATAAAACACATTCGTCAACTTTGGATGAAAACACTCTTGAAGCATTAAGTACTTCTAAAATTGCCAAAGTAGGTTTGGGTTTTGTTCTCTTTTTTGGGAGATGGAATCCTATAGTTACGCAAGTACAGTGCACTATTCCCCCTTATAAATCTAGTTTCAATTTTTTGTGGGTTTTGTGCTACTTAGGCATTCCGCATACCTCTTGGAGCTGTGGGCTATTACATTGTGGCAAAATTTATTCCCATGACTCCTGATGGTGATTCTGGAGAACCAGTATTTTTAATATCTGATAAAGCAGTGGAGAGTAGGTGTACTTGCTCCTTCTCACTCCCATTTGTTCTTGATCCCACAGTAATATAAACTGAATATAAATCTCTTTGATAACAGGAAAATAAATCCAGTAATCTCTATTAGCTGAATAAATCAATAGTCTTAACAACTTAATACATTTCTTACAGCTCTTCCCCCAAGCTTGAATTTCTTATCTATCATTGGGGATTACAATGAAGATGGAATTTTGACTGCTTCATATGGATATGTTGGAGGTCATGAAGGAAAGAGTATATATAGTTGGTATATTCATGAGGTATATCTAAATTTAAGTTCCACAGTATTTAGCTAACTTATCTAATTTATGCTATGGGATTCTACTTCTTACCTTAGTAACACTATAAAGCCGTCTATAGTACTTTACAAAATAGGTGCTAAAACTCGAACAGAAACTGCCTAGGGACTGTCCTGGATTTGATTTTCGACTAAATACTATTGTCAACTTAGCATTGTATTTCTTCTATCTACTATGCCAGCCCAACATTTTTGCTATGTTTACTAGATTGTTTGACCTTTCAGGGTTTGTTTTTTCTGAGTTAATTTTTACTGATGCTTATTAATAATCTTTTGCTGCATTTATTTCAGTTAGCAATAATATATTTGAACTCCTGTAAGAAAAATAAGTTATTTGTCATCTTTAAATGATAGAAAATTATAATATTTAATACATTGAATAAACAAGTAAGTATGGGTTTAGTTTAAAAGGATGAATTTCAGATTTTTGCATATGTATAGAGAAGGCAATAGGCATGCTGATTGTTTGGCTAATTACGGCATTAGGGGTGTGGATTTTATTTTGTAGGAGGGAATTCCACCTTGAGTTTCTTATGAATATTGTAAAGATAGATGTGAACATTCACATTTTAGGTTTTCCTAGTGGGTTTTGGTTGGGTCTCACGACTTTCATATTTCTTTTCTTTTATTTATGCTATCAGGAATGCTGCATATGATTGATATAGGTTATAGTCCTAACCTTGTTAGGATTATGTCGTGCATAGTAATGCTTTAGGATCATTATTTTCATTTAAAAAAAGGAAATATTTGGTGATATTGATTCTTCTTTGCTAGTACAATACGGTACTAATTGCTACTTGTAAATTTCTAGATGTACACAACCAAATCAATTCACGTTGTGACATTTAATGCTGGAAAACTAAATGTTTAGATATTTATCATGCATATGGGTTGACATTCAACACTCTTTTTGCTTGATCGAAAGCTCCTTAATATGCTGTCTGGGTAAACTGTATGTCTCATGTTTTATTTGTTTTCATTCTAGAATTTTGGTGCATTTAGTGGATGAGAATAAAATGGATTGACTGTTGAAAAAATTATTCTAAGGGATCAAAACATGGATGCAGATTTGACCTGCTGAAATAAATAAATAAAATATTCCTTTTAGTCACAAAATGTCCTTTAGATAGAAATTTTTTGTTCTAAATGTCTCTGGAATGTGCAGGTTGAAGGTGATTCAGGTTCTCGGATACCAGGGGTTTCGGGACTGCAGTACCGTATCACCAAAGAAGGGATTGGAAAATTCATCTCATTCCAGTGTACTCCAGTACGGGATGATGGTGTTGTTGGTGACACAAGAATTTGCATGGGCCAGGAGCGCATTCGCCCTGGTAACATTTATTGGATTAAGCATGAAGATAAGAATATGAGTTTGGTCTATTTCTTGAAGTAATATACAAAGAAATTCACATTAACGACATTTGTGCTAAAGATTTCCAATATCAGGCATAGTTACGGAGAGAGAAGATCCAGAACTGAAAGATTAGGGAACAGGGATTATGTCTAACTTAGCAATGCTACTAATATAATTATTCTAGTTTGTAGTGTAAATATATCTTGCTTGACTTATTAGTCACACTGTTTACTCCTCAAACATCTAAATCTAAATTACCATCTGATATTGTAAAAAAGAATGATATATTTTCATCTTTTCAATCTCACTAAATTACCTCATTACACTGTATGATTGATAATATTAATAAATAAAATTTGGTTCACTTTTTTGGTGACATTATTTATTGATCCCTTTTGCTCTGATATGGTCGTTCAATTTGTGTTCCTCTTTGCATTTGTTGGGATTATTGTAGAGATAAATGTGGTCTTCCATATTTTAGGTTTCTCTTGTTGGTTTAGTTTGGTTCCCCCACTTTTGTATTTCCCTTTCTTTTGTATTTAGAATATCACCAATGCTGTATATGATTGATACAGGTTGTCTTAGTTAAGTGATAACATAAGTGACGCAATAACATTGGTATCTTGATTTAGAAAAAAGGTCATTCAATTTGCTTTATATTTTGTTCTAATATAGTTTTGGTTTTTCTTGGTGATCAGGAAGCCCAAGATTGCTTTCTTTACACATAATTGGAAATGCTGTTGAAGGAACAATTCTAAGAATTGAAAAAAAGTATTGGGGTGGTGAAGAGGGAGATTCAGTTTACCGCTGGCTGAGGGTACTTGTAACTTCAACTTTGTGTTGTGAAAGTCTTTGATACGAATTTAAGTTTTAATTTTAAGTCTTGCGTCTTACTCTGAAAAATTTGAACCAGTAAGGTATTGTACATTCATTAATAATAACAATAATGAACTTGCATTTAGGTTTCTAATTAAACTTTAAATTGCTGGTGATTTTCTTACTTTCCTTGCTCTTTAGATATTAAGTCTTTTTTGTCACTAGAATGCCCCTATCCTAATTGGTAAGAGTTTACACTTTTATTGAGTTCTACCATATGTTACTACTTGTTTTTATTAAAAGAAAAAGTGACTTTGGTTGATGTGTTTTAATTACCATTCAAGATAGATTGGTCCTATCTCAACCCTACATGTTTGCTTGAGGGGGACAACTGTTTAACTAGTGTCTAAAAACTTAGCTTAAACAGAATGGTTGGCTCAGTGAACCTCACTGGTTTATCTGTTTCACACACTACTTTCTCAGCATCTGTTGTTACTATCATTCTTGTTGAGTTTGCTGATCTTCCCTAGTTTTGTTCTGCAACACTTTAGCATATGGGTCTCTCATTCAAGACATCCCTTTGATGTATTTAATGGTTTTTGCGAGTGTTGCCCATCTGTTGTCTCCTCTTCTGTGCTATTTGTTGAATATGTTTGTTTACAACCATATGTTGCTGTTTGATTCTCAAGGGTTATTTTGGTGTTAGTATGCTAGAGATTCTTTCTTATGTTGTTTGCAACATGATAGAACTAAACCTTTGCACATCTACACTAATGATGTTAGCACCACTCTCGTGCTGCTGTAGCCACAGAGCATGTCACTTGTCAGTCATCCTTTCAGACCAAAGGGTAAGTTTTCGTAGCCTTCCAAAGCCTCAACTCCTCTTTGAATTGGACACACCACTCCCTATTTTTACATCATGGCTGAACATATGGGTTTTTTCCTTGGGTCTCAGTGATCTCCGTACTGTGCTAGGTTTGTATAGATTTGATGGCTGTATATTGTGGCTTGACTTTTTCCAGGCATCTTTTGTTCAACTTGGGTCATGGCATATTTTGGGGCTTTAACAACTTAACCTCAGTCATAACATCTTCAGTTGGGTCTTAGCTAGGACATCTCTCAAATGGCATATGGCATGACATCTATTAGCCATTTATATGCACGTAGGCCATTTCCCCTTGGCTCATGTGGACTCGGACGAATGGCTTAGGGCTAGCTCAGTTGACAACTTTAATAAAATGTTTCTAGTTCCAATTTCTAGAAACTGCCTTGATATATTATGATCTGAACTTGAAAGAGGGGGTACAGTAAACATATCTAAACTTCAGTAAATTAATAAAGCAGAGCCAGGAAAAAATGTCCTTATAGTTGCCATAAATAGTGGATTCCTCCGTTCCTTGTTTTATTGTGGTTACCATGTTGATGCTACTATTTATAATTGGTCAATTAAATATTTGGGTGATCAACTAACTATTTTGTGGCTTTATGTAGACCACTCCTGATGGCACAAAAAAAGAAATTGCGGGTGCCACTGATGCATCCTATATGCCCTCAATTGATGACATTGGCTCCTTTATTTCTGTTTCATGCGAGCCTGTTCGAAGTGATTGGGCTCGTGGACCTATGGTTCTGTCTGAACAAATTGGGCCAATAGTACCTGGTATTAGTTATTTCTTATTTTATTATTGTGCTTTTTAAGCTTTATATTGTTCATGAAGACATACAGATTTTTTTCAGGTTCAGACAATTTTAATGATACAACTATTTTTACATTACAAATTTAGGTCCCCCAACTTGTCATTCCCTGGAATTTTTGGGATCAATGATAGAAGGGCAGCACTTAAGCTTTAATGCTGTGTATACTGGAGGGTCAGGCTTCTACTATGCATTGTTTATTCTTTACAAGTCTCTATTCCTTTAGTACTTTTTATTTTATCCATTTGGTTACTTTCCCTGTCTAAGAATTTTGTTGCTTGCTTTTCAGGGAGCAAGGAGATTGTACCTATGAGTGGTTTAGGGTAAAAGACAATAGTATTCGAGATAGAATAAGTACCAATGGTAACTTTTATATTGTTGTTTTATCAGCTAAGGGTTATTTATTTGTGATGGAAACATAAATGCTTATTATTTATTTACTATTTGCAGACTTTTTGGATTTGACTCTTGAGGATGTTGGTGCGTGCATTGAAATAATCTATACTCCTGTGCGCAAAGATGGAATCAAAGGCAGCCCAAAACACATTGTGTCTGATCTGATTTCTCCTGGTAAGATTGTTTTACTTGTGAAATTGGACATGTTATGATTATAGTGGTACCTCCTTTGTTAACTTTAAATAACATACCCTAGATTTTGTAGGAGGATGTTAGATACGGGTTTTATCAGGGACCTTTAATTAAATGTTCACCTGCTTTATGTAGTTATGGATTAGTTAATTTTGCAAATAGTTCCAAAATTTTATAGAAATTTCTTTGAAGTTGACCATTTATCAATTATATTAATCATTTATGAATATGTTATGCTTTGTTTGTTTTAGATTCTCTGGGTCCTCAATTGGCCGTTTGATTGATAGTTTTTGCTGGCAAAAACTACCTTAGACAATATAACTATTCTTCTTTATGTTGGGAATGATCACTAGGAAACATGGTGTTTTTTAGTGTTATTGTACTCCTGGAGTCTAATAATATCACTAATATTGGTTTATTGCTTTTGTAGTACTAAACATGCTAATTGCTATAGCAACTTCAGAACAATACACTTGAGATTAAAAACTGATAAAAATATATTCTTGAGGGCTTAAAAGATACCTCTCATTATCTTCTATATATATTGAAAAAACAAGAGTACATGGAACACCAAGAGTCTGCACTAGACCTCTAGGTACAAAACTAGGTACTACTCATTACTGGTCTAGCAGACTAGACTTAATGATGATATGTAAAAGTAATTATTCTAACAAATACAAAAAGAATAGATAATGTAAAAATGGTGAAAACTAGATATAGGATTAACTATCTTTCTTAACATGGTATCAAAGTCATGGGTTAGAGCTTCCAATATATAAGTGGGTACAAATCTTACTTTACAAGTCGATTTTATTGAGTTAAACTTAAAGTTCAATTCTTAACAAACTTCTTGAAAATTTTCTTATGTCTGTGTTTCAACAGTTTCTTTGGGGTATAATTTATTTTTAACATTCTGTTATGTTATTGTAAGGTAGTTATATGCATCCCTAATGTAATTTCTTTATGAACTCCTGTGAACAGCGGATCCTAAGGGAATAGAACTCTTAATTCCTGATTGTTGTGAAGATAGAGAGCTTATGCCACTGAGAAAATATTTTGGTGGACATGAGGGGATTGGAAAGTATATTTGGTATCGTGCAAAGCGTAAACTTGAAGGATCTGAACTGCTAGATATATCTAATGCCTCTGATGTTGAAATATCTGGGACAGAGCTGTAAGTACTGAGATGTTCATACTTTTTGTAGGAATAAAAACTGTAACCGAGGTTGAGGGTTTTTTCCATTATTTTTCTTGACATGGCAGAATGTATAAACCGCTGCTTAAAGATGTTGCAGCTTACTTGGCTTTGTATTGGGTGCCTACTCGAGAAGATGGAAAATGTGGAGAGCCATTGGTTGCAATTAGCAGTGCCCCAGTTTCCCCTGGTATCTCTATAATTCTTTGCTGGAAGTTCATTGCAGTATCTGATGATATCTTTTCATCACATGGTTTAAATAGTATTGTGTTGTCGTGGTTGTGCCCACTGTATTTAGAATTTCATTTGTTCTAGCATTTTTGGCTTAAGTGACATAAAATGTGATATTTAGTACATTTTATTGCCTCACTGCTTTTGTAATTTGCAGCTCCTCCAATAGTTTCTAATGTACTCGTGAAAGAGTTGTCAACGGGAATTTATTCTGGAGAAGGTGAATATTTTGGTGGACATGAAGGAGAAAGTCTCTTTAGCTGGTATAGAGAAAATAATGAGGGAACCATTGAACTAGTTAATGGAGCAAATTCTAAAATCTATGAAGTTACTGATTCGGATTACAATTTTCGATTGTTGTTTGGGTAATTATTCTTATTTCTCTTTTAGCCTTTAATGTGTGTTAATGTATGACAATGAAGATAGTGTATTGTATCTCATGCTAAACATTTTAGCTTATCTAAACTTGAAATTGAAAGTGTGAAAGGAATGATCTTTTCTTCATTTATGTCCTTGTTGCTTTTTATCAGTATAAATTATTAGATGACTGACTTCTTGGTGCTATCCAAGCTGTTGAATTTATGGTTGAGAGTGGATGGCATAGCCTATGAATTGAAAAGTGATTCTATGTTGGCGTCGAAGCTCTCTCCAATCATCATATTGTGAGGAATATGAGATTTCATATATCTCATATGTAAAGAGGGAAACCATTCAGCCAACATACTTTCGTCTTTTGGGGTTAGATATAGATGTACTATTGGTGGTTGCAAAACTAACGGCAAGTGCATCGGTTGCAGCTTAGCAAATAATAAGTAAATATATTGTTTTCTTCCAAGGAACTTGTGCAACACTAAGTTCTCTAGGTGCATAATTAAGTCTGGGAGGAAGAGAATGTCCAAAACCTCACGAGAAACATGTTTAAATAACCTACTTTGACATGTTTGTGACGCCACTGCTCAGTGCTATTCCTTTCGCATTAACTAGCGCTCAATGAAATTTTTCCACCTCTCAATGCTACTGGTGTAGGGGCTGGTGGCGCTCAGCCCCAAGCAATTCGACAACATGATCATTTATTGTCCAAAACATGTTTCCTTGATTTCCAACTTGTTTTCCTCCACCAGAGTTGCTTTCTATTGACTTATTGTATACACTCAGAATAAAGATTAGAGGAAAACAAGCTCACACAACTGAAATACAAGAAAACATGAAAACACACTGACTTTTTGGGGACAAAACAAGGTAAAAACTATAAAGGAGTTGATTTATTCACAAAAATATACACATAAAAACATGTAAAATCAACATATATCAACTATGTGGGGGGATCTTATTCTAGATTTTATTAAGTTTGATTTCTATAACAATAGATGGAATTTGTGTTTATAGGTTTGTTTCTTGAGTGGGTTTTGGTATAGTCTCCCCATTTTCTTTTGTATTTTTGTTATCTTTTATGATATTTGAGTACCCTGTAAATGATTGATATATCTTGTAGGGTAAATCTAGATGGAATTGCTTGTTATATAGTGATGTTTTTGCATACCTTTGCTTTTTAAAGAAAGCAAGTTTTTGGTTTCCCTAATTTGCTGTTTATTTTAACTAGGCTTAATAGTCTTATTTTATTAGTGAGCTGGGATTGTGCCGTTATTACTACAGTGGGGCTTGATCTAATTATTAATTGAAAGATGATTAGATTGTATTGTATCGCTTCATTTTATGCCATACCTATGAAATATCTTATAATTGAGATAATCCTTATCCTTATTCCCTCCCTGTCCAAACCCTTTAATTACAACCTTTATATCCTGTTGATATTAACATTTTCATCCTTTTTTTCCCAGATACACACCTATTCGTTCAGATTTGGTTGTGGGGGAGCTTGTTTTATCTGCTCCTACTAATATTGTGTTCCCAGGTAACCATTTCCCATGTTTAAGCAAGCCTTGCGTTTTTGCATTGCATTTACTTTTAAATATCAAGCACTTTTTTCTTTCAAGATTTTGAAGTTCTAGGAAAATAAGTATGGTTCTTGCATTGTTCTCTAGAGCTTCCATGTGTCGAGATGCTTGCTCTGACTGGCAAGGCAGTTGAAGGTGATGTTCTTACTGCTGTTGAAGTGATTCCAAATAGTGAGACACAGCGACATGTTTGGAGCAAGTACAAGAAAGATATAAGATATCAATGGTATGGTGATATAGTAGGTTGAATTAAAGTACTTCTAAAAGAATATGAAAAAACTGAAAATTAATATTATCACTCATTAATTATGTAATTTTGTACCATTAACAAATAAACTGTAATTTTTTCCCTTAAAAAAAATCATTTGCATTAGCCATCATGCAATAAGCAACTTGAATTATAACTAGTTTAAAAGGATTGACAAATAAGTAGGTAAAAGTAGCTATCACTATCGACAGTAATGTTTCATTTTTTGATTAGTAATCCACTTAGAAAATAATGGTTTTCGTACCAAGTGAACATTTTTTATTACTAAATGAATACAGATTAAGTGAATATTTTACTTACGGATATTATTAGAGTCTGAGTTATATGTATTTATGTAAATTAGGGAACCATCAATTTTTACAATTATCGTTCTTGACAGGCAGCCTGACCTATTTCCTCCCTTACTATTGACCATTTCAGTAGAGACTGTTCCATAATCCCTTGTCAATGGCCAGTTCTCCCAAACACTAAAGCTTTTGGGTGATGGCATGTATCAGGAGAATCCTGGTTGCTAACTCAACAATTCTTGTAGTAAAGGCTGATTATATGTATCACTTAATCACATTAACACAATTTCAGGTTTTGTTCGTCTGAAGTTGGAGACAGTCTTTCGTACGATCCATTACCTAATCAGAATTCTTGCTCCTATAAGGTGCGGCTAGAAGATATTGGTCATCATTTAAAATGTGAGTGTATCGTAAATGATGTGTTTGGAAGGTCTGGTGAGGCAGTATGCATTGAGACAACACCTGTGTTGCCAGGTAATTGCTCTCATTGATAGTGGCTGAGTTGGTGCTTTAAGCTTCTTATTTCCACATACATTTCTAGCAAAGATATTGTCTATGAAATATTTATGGCCATTCATGTTATTCCCATAAAAGAGCTGTTTCTCTTTCTCATAGAAATACACAATGGCTTTGCAAATGAAAAATTGAAATTTGACTACTTGATACCTAACCCTGTGATTCTTCATCCTATCATTTCCTGCTAAAGTACTTGTAACTTGCAACGAACTAAAGAGTGTTGTGTTTTTAAACATTTATTGTCATTTTCTTTTCTAACTGAGTTGCCCTTGAACTTTTTGTCATGCATTCTCCTTTTGTTAAAGTATTATGTTTGACTTCTTAGGAATTCCTAGAATACACAAGCTGGAGATTGAAGGAAGGGGATTTCATACCAATCTCTATGCTGTTCATGGCATTTACAGTGGTGGAAAGGAAGGGAAAAGTAGAGTTCAGTGGCTTAGATCAATGGTTGGAAGTCCTGACCTGATCTCCATACCAGGTATGCTAAATCATTTGAGTTACTTAAATTGATACATTTCCAATTAAAGATATTTAGAAGTATATAATTGAATTTCAATACATCCATAATAGGGTCCATATTGCTTATTTTGACATTTTACTACAATTTATATTGAAGATCTTACATCGACTAGTGAAATTATAATATAAATGGAATATAAATCTCACTTTACAAGTTAATTTTATGAGGTTGAGTAAAACATTAACTCATTTACTAACATGGTATTAAGGCCATACTAGAAAAAACCTGTCCTAAGGTGATATGGCAAAATTATAACATATAAGGGGTACAAACCTCATTTTACAAGTCAATTTTGTGTAAACTCACTAACATCCTATTGTTAGATGAGTTTGGTCAAAGTTTATTGAAAAATACAAAACCATGAGTTGAATTAATTAAATAAGCAATGGGGCCAACATGTTTTTCGTAATTTTATAATAAGTTTCAGCTAATAATAAAGACTGTGTAAGCTTCTCTGCCATATTGTAGGTTTTCTTAGTGGGTTTTGGCTTTGTCCCTCCAGTTGCACATGACAATTTTAATTGTTTTATGGTACTTTTTGAGCCACAAATGATTGTTATTTGGGGTGTTAACATAATTGAGATCTCAAATAACATAGTGATGCTTTAGCGTTTCTCTTGTTTGATTATTGGAACTTGTGAAGGAGTGGCAACCAACAAGAATCAAACTTGAGATTACACTTAGGTTCAAGAATATTCTAGATTGACTCAAAAGTAGTATTTTTTTTTTCAAAAGAGATAGGGCTGCATAGTGACTTGAAGGCTTTTTTGGGAAGGAGAGAAAGTAAGAGACGTTACCTAATCTGTGTCCCATGTACGCAACAATGTGTATGATTTACTGATAGGATATAGGGTGATAATGGGTTTAGGATAGAAGGAAGAGAAAATGATAGGGCAGTTAGGAGGGAAGAGTTATTTGACAAGTTAGTTAGTTAGTGGGAAGGGGAAGAAAAACTTTATAAATAGGGAGTGGGTTCTGTACAGGGGGTTATTGAGTGAATTTGTTGTAAAGACAGGATTTTAGCCTGTAGAGGGAAGTTATGTACTAACGAGGGAGGTTGTTAGGTATTCAAGATGAAATCCCTAACGAGCTCTCTAACTCTCACTCACTTACACCAACACAGAATAGAATGAGAAAGAATGGAATTGCATTCAAACCAACAAATCAAGAATACAATGTACCCAGGAGCTTAACCTCCTTCACCTGGTTCTAAGACCGGTCAACTACATACAAGTCACTAACCCCTCTTTCAGGAACAAATACAGGGTCCTTATATAGACTCTGTTCCCGCCCTCTTAACTGTTATTCTGTTAGATAACAGTTAGGTATTATTCCTCACCCTTTTCCTCTCATAAACCCTCCAAGGCCTAACAGAGGTTATGCTCCCAACCATTCTTTGTAAAGAGAGTTCTTTTACTGTGAATAATTTTCATTACTGTTTTTACCTACTTTTAGTGTTCTTAGTTAGGTTTCAAACCCAGGAACCTAACATTTACTGTAGGTGAGTAATAATTATTTAGAAATTATTTGCCTAAGTAAATATATAAAGCTTAGAATTGCCTAATTACCATAACTAAAGTTATTCTTTTAATTAGACTGATTTCTATATTTTTTATTCCTTTTTTTATTTCCTTAATTAGGTGAGATGTTGTGAACAATTCAGATTTATTTCTTTCTTTCAAGTTTTTCTGTAAACAACTGTCATTGTAATTGCCGAATTGGCTATAACAATTATGTAGCGTGCATTTCAATTTGTCAAATGCACATGTTACATGTTTATCTTATATAAGTAACATCTATAGAAAGGAAAATACTTTCAAATATATAAATTATATTAGAATTAAAATCTGTAACAAAAAACTATTTTCGAACAAATAAATCATATTTTTAAATGATAAACTATTTATATTGTAATACAAAATTATTTTTACTAATGTCTACATCAGGAATGACAAATAAATTTGTATCCATGGTATTGTTTGAACTCATCTTTAAGTTGACGAGGGAATACCCAGAATTACTAGAGTTGAGGAGGGAATTCCCCGAATTACTAGACATGAAAATGAATAATATTTGACTTTCGAAATCAGGGATGGGTATGTACATATTTATCTCATTCCCATCCTTATACTCATCCTCATTTTAAATTATTAAAACACCCTTAAAGGCATCTCTAATGGGGATTATTTACCATAGTTTCTTAAAAAAAACTGTTCACAGTACTTTTTGTGATCTCTACAATCTCACATAACTTTTAAGAAATGCATAATTGTGTTCCAATGGTAAAGAATTTCAGTTTGCCAAATTCGTGTTTGTATTATAATGGAGCCTTTCTTATCTAAGAAATTTTTCTTAAGTTTGAAGAAACGCTGTGCCACTTTGCATCTTTCAAATGATATATTTCTTCAATATTTGATTTCTTTAAGCCAAGGAGCTCATTAATAAATCACAACTGAAGATGTTCTTACTTTATTTGGTACTCTATTTTGAAATTTATGCCACTATAATTTCTTCATTGTTAGTTGGCATTGAAGAGAAAAAAATGTTTTCTTTTGACATTGAATTATTGGTAATCTGATGTTTCTTTGTTTTGATTTTATCTTTTGTAAATAATATTTGGTAAATATTGCAGCGGGTATAGGCATTCTCTTTTTCTATAGAGATAACATACAAATTTCATATCTATCAAGTATTGAGGACTGGAAAGAGTTTGAGTTTTCATTTCAAGGATGAAGATGGGTACAATCAAACTTGTAATCACGATGCCCCATTCTTGTCTCTATGCAAAATATGACATTGGAGCATCGCATACGCACACACATGCATATGTATGTTACATATATACGCATGTTGTGCCTAAACTCAATTTTTTTTGTTTTTTAAATTTTCTCATGCTGGAGAACTGTTCAACATGCATTGAAGGCGAATGTGAGATATCTAGATTCAATTTAGGAAAAAGATAGATAGGAAGAGATAAGGTGTTAGTAGAAATTCCAAAAAATGTTCTCATTGGAGAAAAACCTCTAAAAGCACTCTCAGTTTAACAATATCTCCTAATATTGGTCTCTTTCAAGATATCTTATCTAATTTGAATAAAATGAGCATAATATTCTCTGCTGTGTAATACACATGGATTCAGTTGTCTTTTGTTTTCTCTTCCTTGCATGTCTTGTATTTCATATATTACTTGTACATATCTTCGTTAACCCTGTGATTTTTTCTTTCAACTGATTAAACTGCAGGAGAAACTGGCAGAATGTATGAAGCGAATGTTGATGATGTTGGTTATAGGCTGGTGGCCATCTATACTCCTGTAAGAGAGGATGGAGTAGAGGGGCAATCAATTTCTGTATCCACGGAGCCAATAGCGGTTGGTAAGATGAAATTCTTTATCTAATTAACTAGTGGAAACATATGTGCCTACACTTATATGTGTCCACTTTTACCTTATAGTAATAAAAAAATAAAAACTAATTTTTCTAATTATTATTAAAATAAAAATTTTATTAAATTTATAAAAAATATTTTTAAATAATAATTATGAAAAAAGTTATACAATTTAAAGGGTAAAATGGACAATGAAATGTGTAAAAAACAAACAGTTATTGAGCTTATAAAAGAACTATCTCTTTATTAATAGGTACTAGTAGGGATGGCAACGGGTCGGGTCAGGCACAGATAGTGCCTACCTGCCACCCGATCCGCATGTAAAAAACCATACCTGCAACCCGACCCAATGCAAAAAATTCGTGGATTTTTTTAAAACCGCGGATATCCGTTGGATACCCGTTTTTAATCCACAAATGTTTAAAAAATGTATTTTGTGAATTTTTAAATAAGGTTTAAATTAAATTACAAGAAATTACAAGTTAAAGAGAACAATTTAATATATTTGCTACATATTAAAAAGACACAATATAATTTTTAAACAAGTTAAAGAAAACAAATACTCAACAACTTTTGAAAAAAAAAAAAAGATACGAGGAAGAAACACCCAGAATACCTATCAATGTATGAAACAAAGAGATAAAGAATTTTCAAGAGAATGCAAACAGGAACCCTAAACCCAAATTTCAAAAACGAACGCAATCACAAAAATCTCTAAACCATGATAACCATCAGGGTCTTCAAAAATCTAATCTGCATCAATGGACTAAAATCCAAAAAAACTCAAAAACACTTATTCGAATCATAACCCCAAAATCGCGTCACCAATCAACAGGGAAGAAATCAAGAAACGAACTCCCAAAACGCGAATCAAAGTGTACAAAAGAAACCCCCAAAATCAGAAAACAAATAAAACCCTAATTTCAAATCCCAAATCGGAACAAAACCTCAATTAGAACTAAGAGAGAGAGGAAGAGGAAATGGAGCCTACTCCTTGCGCAAGCTGAACCATAAGGAAGAAGAAAAGAGTCTTTCGTTAAGAGAGAATTTTCTAATGAGATTCTATGTATATGTTTGATATCTTTATTAGGGTTAGCTCAAAAGTAATGTAACCCTTTTTTTTTCTTTTCTTTTTTTTTAAAAAGGTAATTGAAAGGAATCCCCATTGTTATTAAAATTTCTCCATTGTTATTAAAATTTCCCCTTTGTAAGAGTAATAAAAGAATTTTAATTTTAAAAAATATTAATTAAATTTTTATTATTTTTTTTTCGGGTAACGGGTATCTGCTGGTTAGATAGTATAATACCGCATCCGATCCGTTTAGAAGCGGGTATTAAAAAAAAAGAACTTATTAAAGTAAAATTGGAAAACAAAATGTGTACACAAGGCAAATTCCCTTTATATTTCGTATTCACTTTTTTCTGATAATAAAAGGTAATGAAACTATAATTATAAAAATAAATATAAATAATTTTTATAATTTAATTATAGATGGTTTTTATTTATTTAGTAGATGATTTTTATTTATTTAATTGTTAAATTTAAAAAAATTAGTTAAATTTAAATAAAACGGTAACTTGAAACGTAAAAATGGAAAGAAAAAACAACAGACACCAAAAAAGAGAATCTTCTTTATATATAAGGATAGATAGATAATATAGTTTGTGTATAGTTAAGTTATCTTTGACATTATATAGTAATCCAGGGTGAGTGTTGAAATATCTGTTCATTTCTAGATTTAGGTAAATGTTTTTGAATTCGTTGATTTATGATGAGCAGGCAATAAGTATTCGAAAACTCATCCATGGTTTTGGCACCCCTAAAATTTGGTTTCAAACTTTTCCCATCTATTCCTAAGTCTTCCAGATCCCACAATTACTACCTTTAAGCCCCTGGTCCTTTTTCAATAACTAACCTGTTGTTGAATGTCCTGTGCGATCCTTCAATTCCTCTTAGTTGAAAAGATTTCATTTATTGTCCTTAAGAAATAATATGCTCTTGTCTCTTTTGTTTATGTTTCTCACTCTTCGATGTTGCATCTCTCATTTAGTGTTCATCTACAAGTGTCTAGGAAGTTGTATCTCTTATTATGCCAGGTAATAATCTCCTCTAATGTCTATCAAGAGTCTATATTTATGGAGAATGTGCAAAACCCACGCACCACAAATTTTTTTGAACAGTAAAGCGTTCTCGATCTCTAAATTATCTGTAGAATAATATGCTCCATCCTCCCTCTAAATCTAACGTGGTAACAGAGCAGCACAATCTATTGTAACCCGTTCCATTACAGTTTCGTTGCCAGGGTTCCTTTAAATTTTTGTACTCCCTTTATTTACTGGTATTTTCTCTCTCTTATGGGGTTTCCTCACTGTTCTCCATTGTTTTACATAAATGCAAATTCGATCTGTTCTTTTTCTCCCAAGTTATCTCTGTATAAGGTTATTGTTAAACTACAGGAAAAAGACATTAAACAGAAACTGCGTTTTCGAGATAGTATATATACTTTATTTATATTGAGAAAAAAAGAATCTATATAATAAATAAATGAAATTTGATATCCTCATAAAGTAAAAGTATGATATGGGAAAAAATAAAAAACATTCCTAATACATATGATACATTATTCTTTATTATATAGGATTTGCTTCTTGTCTCTAATTATAAGTTATCAATGCCAGAGATGTCTATGACACTGAGCCAAAAATCCACCATATAAATATGGCAGATGCCAGTGAAATGTGTGTATAGATATATATTCATATATTCATTATACATACATATATATATATATATATATAAAGAGAGACTAAACGAAACAGGGAAAATGAATTTAAAATGGCATAATATTAGACTAAAATTCAAGAAAATATCACATCTTAAACGAACATTAGAAAGATAACATGTTCTGGAATTCTAAAAACAGAGAACTAAAATTATGATGTTCTTAAAAATACCAAGAACTATAATTTTGAAACATTCAAAGCACAGAGCTCCAAAATATTGAATATATAAAAGATTGAAGAACAAAAGCAGCCACATAAATAGTAAGAGAACAAAGAGATGCCTGAGATCGTCTGAAGAAATCAAGAACAGATGAAAAAAAGCAAAAAAAACAAAAAGTAAATGGAAGGCTTGCAGGAGTGGTCAGTTGCAGTTTAAAGGGTTTGCACCATCGCAGTTGATAAGAGAAGAAAATTTCTAGGGTTCTCATTTTGTGGTTTCACTTAAGAGAAGAGGGAGTGTCAGAAAGGGTGTTCAAAAGCGGGTTCTTTTATAAATGAGCAAAGCTAAAACTTAAAGTTGGTTTCAAAGTTGAAAAGAATGTGTATATATATATTCCACCTTGGGTGCCATTAACTGCCACAACCCCGATGGGTGCCATAGCAGTGGATATGCAAGAATATCTTTTTTTCTCTATATTTTCTACTGTCTTATGCAATATTGCTTCTTTGGTTTTATGATATGGATAGTTTGGAACTGTTCAGTTAACCATTGTTTTACAATTTTCTAGACAGAACGTAACATTGTATGAGCTTTAATTCAATGCAGAGCCCGATGTTCTTAAAGAAGTGAAGCACAACCTTGAACTTGGATCAGTGAAGTTTGAGGTGGGATATTTATTGTCTTTACAATGTTGAAAATGTATTGTTGATTGGGAAATTCATGTAACGCGCTATACAGCCACACTAATATGCCTTGCTAAGTAATCCATTTTGTCCAAGTACCTGAAATGTTAAGATATATTTTTGGATAGATGATTGCTGTGTCTTCACTTCGGAGTCTTCCTGTACCTCATTGATTCATTCTTTTTGAGTTTTGTTCTAAATTTTTATAGCTTTGCTCTAAAATTTGGTCTTTAAAAGTTTTGTTTTACCTTAATTTTGAGATGTTTAACCTTTAGTTTTAATCCTTCATGAGCTCATTTATGACTTTGTTGACAGGTATTATGCGACAAAGAGCAAAACTCAAAAAAGGTACTCTATAGTCATCTGATGTTTATGAATTCAGTTTTTATTGGTGGAAAAGCCCAGAAGGGACTGGTGCCAATTGTCATTATTTTTCTTTCAGATTTCATCAGTGGGCACATACGAGAGACGTATCCTTGAAATTAACAGGAAAAGGGTAAAGGTGGTAAAGCCTGCCACGAAGACTTCTTTTCCAACTACGGAACTTCGTGGTAGTTATGCTCCTCCCTTTCATGTAAGTTTGGTGACTTGGAAACTTTTATTCCATGATTAATTATATAATTTTAAACCCAGCTCGTCATATTCTTGATTTTCTTGTATTGATCTTTAAATGTATCAGGTGGAGCTTTTCAGGAATGATCAACACCGTCTTAGGCTTGTAGTGGACAGTGAGAATGAAGCAGACTTGATGGTGCACTCCCGACACATTCGGGATGTTATTGTTCTTGTGATTCGAGGACTTGCTCAGCGATTCAATAGTACTTCCCTCAATTCCCTTCTCAAGATAGACACATAAACTCGGTTACATTGTATAGTCATATTTGTTCCAGGAAATTAGGCTGTTGGGGGCAGTTTTCTCACATTTTGTTTGTCCTGGTGCTGCAATTGTTATATTAATAGAGCAGTTTTTAATGCCATAATCATTGTAGGCCATTGATTCCAAGATCTATGCGGATGGCTCACACAGCATCGTCATTTAAAGATTTTGCGTTTTGAATTTTATTTGCATTTTAGATTAGGGTGATTAATGAATGGGTAGTGCGTGGGTAGAGTAACTATTATAGTGTCTATGGTTTGGCTTTTGGCTTCCTGTACCTCATCATTACTTACTAAATGCACTCACACTAACAGTGAAATACGCATTTATTGTACAACACAACCAGTGCTGCCACCGTTGTCATGTTGCAAAGAAAGAAGAAAGGGAGAACTTTGTAAAGAAATCAGAATGTGGAAAAAGCTTATTTCGAAAAACTCTTTTTAGAATACATTTTGAGAACATTGTTCGGAAATTTATTTCATGCATTTAGTGAATATTAATCTAACAATTTTGATAAGGTTTTTTGCGCAACCCCGATTTTCAAAATCTTATCAATATTTCAAACTAAGACATGCAAAGTATCAAACGTACAACACATTCAACAAAACTAATTAGGACACTTATGCATCGCCATAATTGAGTTTCTATGGTCATTGTAACAACCAAAGGTTTAGCAAACTAATTTCATGTAGAAATCAATCGGAGAGAAAGTTGTCTCATGAGTGAAGAAAGCTTGTCTTGGTCAATAATGTAGCTCCCACCAGCATAAGCTTCATTGCTATAGAATAAAACTTATGTCGCAACTGCTCTTTCGTGCAGGAGAAGTGAGGAAGAGAAGGTTTGACTGCGAAATTTAAAAGAGATTTATGTTGAACTTATTATAGTCAGTCATAAAAGTGTTTTTTTGTCTCACCATGGTAAGTCCTGCATTTATAAAATTATTACCGTGTCTTTTTACGTGTGTTATTTATGGGTAGGATGTAAATGAAGTGATGTGAATAGTTACTTTTGTGTTAGTATTTATTTTGTATATATTTAAAAAATAATATCTTATGTCTCTAAATGAACAAAATATCTACATATTTTGAGAAAAAAAAAATGAAAAATTAGTTAAAACTAGGGCTGGGCATAACATACTGAACTATACTATATTACATTAACTATATTTTTAATAAACTAAAAAAAACTGAACTACTTAATATAATATTTAAACTATACTGTTTAAGAGTTCAATTTTTAAAAACTGAACTTATATTAGTTAACTAATAACTGAACTGAAATTTGTAAGCATACTATCAACTGCATAATTGTTTTCTCAATGTTGTTTGTTATGCGTTAAGTATTGAAAAGTTATGAACTTAAATAATTGTTTACAATATTAACAATATTAATAAAAATCAAGACAGTACAGTTTCAATTTGGATTTAAATTATAGGTAAATACACCTAACAAATATAATTTGTGGCTAAATTCAAATGTTAAAAGTTAATTGTGCTTCATAATAATTGTTTTTATAATCTTAATTATTCACCAATTAAGACAGTGAATAAATTGAACAAATAAAGTAGATATTCTTTTTTAAATACTATTTATTTTATTATTTTAAATATAAAACAATATCTTTAAATATACCATTTTATTATTTTAAATATAAAATAATATTTTTAAATATACCATTTTATTATTTTAAATATAAATAAATAGTATTTTAAATAATTTTTTCTTCAATTCCACAATTTAAAGTTTGTAATCATATATATTTTATTTACGGCTTTTTGAAACTGACTATGCTCATGTTTGAATACCAGTATATTTATGTTTGAATGCAAAGTTTAGTTTAGATATATATTTTAGTCACCGCTTTTTAAACACAGTAGGCTTATGTTTTAATGGATAATGGATAGTATAGTTTAGTTATTAGTTAACTGATATAAGTTCAGTTTTTTAAAATTGAACTATAAAACAATACAGTTTGGATATTATATTAATTAGTTCAGCTTTTTTTAGTTTATTATAGTACAGATAACTATAGTTTAGTACAATTTAGTTAATTTTGTCCAGCCCTAGTTAAAACAGGGTGTGTCTAATATTGTCTAAAAATTTTAAATTGAAGGTAATGATGAAGTTACGAAAAAAAAAGAAGTTCTAGAGTGACAATGTCATAGTATATTGTAAACAAACGTGTATTATTTAACAAAGTTTGAAAATAAACTATTACAAAGCTCATTATAGTATATTAATGAGTAATGATGTTGAGAATGTTCTTTTGTATAATATTTTTGAATAATTTTATTAACTAATAAAGCTCTTGAATGATACAATATCATTAATGAATAAGTTTTAAGTGGTTTAATGACTGTTTGAGAGCAAACAAAACATTCTTTTAAACTTGTGAAGGTGAATGTTGACGTTTTTTTTACTATTTATATAAATAAATATATTTTATTTACTTTTACATTTTATCTTTATGGTAACTTGTTAAATTATAAGTTAATTATTTGTGTAATTATCACATGATATATTTTACTTTAATAAAATATAACATTGTATTTGCAATACTAAATACAATTGAGAAAAGAAAATGACAAAATTTATTTGTTGACATATCCCTTTATTAATGTTCTACGTAATATCAAAATGCATATGACATTTGCTTTTAAAATATATTATTAGTTTATAATTTCGTCTAATTATATATCATATCTTATTAAGGTAAAGTAGTTTCTTCAATATTTTTAAATATTTTTTACTTTATCAATCATATTATGATTTATCCTATACTAAGGTTTCTGTAATTTTTTAAATTAAAATGTCAGAATATATTTAATCTTTAGCATTTGGTTTAATGATTCTAGTATGTATTAACCCGGGCCGATCTCCACAACTTAATTTTTCTAAAAGTATAACACTGAGTGAATATGCTCAAGCGTGTTATGAAATCAAACTAAGTTTTTCAAATTAACGAGTTTGAACTTTTTGCAATACGGTACCACCATCATAAGGAAAGAGAGATCTCAACCATATTTGTTAGTGGCACTCAGTTTGCATTTAATTTCCACTATAAATATTACTCCAATTTCTTCTAGCTTTCACATTTCAAGTAAAACAAACATTTATAGCATCATTGCTTCTTATTTTACAAACTATAGATGTATAATTCACATTTTGTGCGTATAAAAGAATAAACTAAGCTAGCTAATAGTAGATTTCTTATAATAAAAAAAAATTACTATGAATTGGGATAAAAAGTACTTTTAACTCAAATTTTTTTGGAAAATGTTAAGAGTCTAACTTTGAGACATCATAAAGTTAATTATTGGAACTAAAATAATCACTTAGATTAGTGTCTAAATACATTAATCGATTATATTTATTAATTAGGGTTTCTATTTTTTCGTAGTTGGGATTTCTCTCATCGGATTTATGAGATATTATATGATAGGAATATAAGTTTTCTAGTCGAAATCTAAGAAGAATGGTTGGCCATCTCCAATGAAAGACTTAAGGGATCGGTGATTGTCCTATAGTGGGCGTCAATGTTTCAATCTCAAGTTTGTTGAGTGACATCAATCATCGCTAGTATAGACTCTAAACAATGGCTCGGATACTATGTTAAAAAATAGTGTTTAAACCTAATTCAATATCAGAAAATTAGTTTGTAAGTTGAGATTTGCACCTACGTACAAACTCTAAATTGATTCTATGTCAAGTTGAGGTGAGACTTCCAACACACCCGTTCACACCAAGACATATACATCTTGTGCGTGAAACTAGAAATTAATAGGTAGTCCGATAGCAACCCGACAATGGGTATAATGATATGTCCAACAAACACAAATTTCGCCAGAACAGACTCTAACAATGACTCTGATATGATGTTAAGAAGTGAACTTTAAGCTTAACTCAATCTCACAAAATTGGTTTGTAAGGTGAACTTTTCACCCACTTATATACTTTAAACTATAGTCTTATCACTAGTTGGTGTGAGACTTTCAACACATCCCCTTCACGTCGAGGTATATACATCTCATGCGTGAGACTAGACATTAATAAGTGGTCTGATAACAGTCTAATAGTAGGTGAAACAATATACTCAACAAACAACAAATTTCGCTAAGATAAACTTTAAATCATGTTAAGAAATGGACTTTTAAGTCTAATTAAATCCCACAAAATTAGGTTGTAAGGTGAGATTTGCATCCACTTATATACTCTAAATTAGCCTTATCTCTAGCCGATGGACCAGTGTTTCGATCCTAAGTCTGTCGAGTGACATAGTTTAGGTTAATCATCCTTATTCTAAGGTATTGTTTACTTTGGAACCTGAAGTTCCATCACAATTTTGTCCTTAAAATGTATCTCAAATAGTCAAAGAAGAAAAGAATATTTAAACTGTCTCTAGTCTCAACTCGCTATGTAAAACTATTATTGGGCATAAGAGAAACAAAAGAAAAAATGGTTTGGAAATAAAAATGTGACTCTCAGACACACTTTGATTAAAGAAAATAAGATTAAACAATATATAATAATAAAAACTGATAAACCCATGGTTTATTAAAGATTATGTCAATTTTTTTATGTGTGAGTTGAAATTATAGGTGTTATGTCTCATTTATGATCTCATCCATCAAAATTAAACCAATAAAAAAATAAATCATGATAAATAAAAATAAATAATAATAAATATTATCCATTTATGCTTTACCTGATATTATAAAAAAAAGTAGTTAATATTTAAATCTTTATTTTAAAAAGTGAAAAATGTAATTGTGAACTGGGAATTTATAGTTGAAAGTACGTAATATAATATATTAGAAAGTGGGTTTAAGCCTAACTCAAATTCTACGTCGTTATTGGACCATCCAATTTCTACTATCACGCACGAGATGTCTATACCTCGACGTGAAGGGAGTGTGTTGGAAGTCACACATCGACTAGAGATAAAAAGCCAAAATATAATATATAAGTGAAGTGCAAACCTCACCTTACAAGCCGGNTACTTTTGTGTTAGTATTTATTTTGTATATATTTAAAAAATAATATCTTATGTCTCTAAATGAACAAAATATCTACATATTTTGAGAAAAAAAAAATGAAAAATTAGTTAAAACTAGGGCTGGGCATAACATACTGAACTATACTATATTACATTAACTATATTTTTAATAAACTAAAAAAAACTGAACTACTTAATATAATATTTAAACTATACTGTTTAAGAGTTCAATTTTTAAAAACTGAACTTATATTAGTTAACTAATAACTGAACTGAAATTTGTAAGCATACTATCAACTGCATAATTGTTTTCACAATGTTGTTTATTATGCGTTAAGTATTG